CTGATAAGAGCCATGGATCAAGGAGTGTATAAGACAAAAGGAAGAGTACGACAAGCTTCCTGAAGAAAGAAAGGCCCCAAAAAAAGAAAGGTTGATTAAATTTTAATGTAAATATTTTATTTGATGACGAAACCCAGAATGTATGCATGATGTGTTATAATCATATGCCTTCGAAACAGAAGAAAAAGGAAAAGATCAATCGGACCCAAGGTGCCTGGCATAGATGCTCTCTTTCCAAGTTCCACAAAGCAGTGTCACAGTTTGATGAGGAAAAGATAAAGGCCGTTGAGGAGCTTGGATTTGGAAAATTTCTGGAACTTAAATGTTCTTTTTTGCCCCAGGAGTTATATATGTATTTAATAAAAAAAATTTTGACTCTGAAAAATGTTGTATAAAAGTTGAGGACATAGGTTATATATCCATCCATTCAGCTGATATACACTCGATCCTTAGCATACCATTTGGTGTTCCAAAAGTGCCGAAAAATAATCAGTATCTTAATTCTAAGTAGATAGATAAAGGTGGTTATAAGGAAGCTGGTCGAATGCACCAAGATGTATTGTTAGAGCAGGTTTTAACAGTAAAGGGAATGGATGAATTCAAGCGAGCATTTGTGCTCTTTGCTTGCAGTACTGTACTTAGTCCCACCGGTCGTAATAATTGTCAATGGGGCTAGTTGAAAACTGTAGATGATGTGAATGCAATTAACAGTTACAACTGGTGCGGATATGTCCGTGATTGTTTGGTGAGAACCCCTGAACCATCTGGAGACAGGAAGCTGAAAAAGTCATACGGTGGTTGTATGATTTTTTTGTAGGATCCTTGGTTATGATTTTTGTACATTTGCCTTTACAATGTGTGTGAATTACATATTAATTTTATGAAATAGAAGAAATATTTACTTTAATTATTGGTCCTTTAAATCAGTTGCCTTATCTGATGCATTGTGATACTCAATACTGAGCTTGTCCTGAGGGAGATATTAAAAGCTTTGGTTTTTGGACATCAGAGGTTGTACGATCACGAATCAGATGGGAGATGGGTAACGGAGGTTTTGGACATGAATAGGTAATTATTTTTGTCATGTATGGACAAGTCTATTTAAGAATAGTATTTTGTATTGTTAAAAATAGTTATCTATATATATATATTATAATTTGATGATAGACTAGTGTTAGCTGAATATGGAATGGAAATAGTTGATCCCTCTGAAGCCGAAGACATGTAGCAGCAGCAGTAGTGGTAATGATGTGCTAGCCGAAGATGGTTTTGGCCCTTCTTTAAACATTGATTTTGATGATTATCATTTTTCTTACTCGGATGTGGAGGTAATTGTGTTGTAAAATACATTTTCTCTATTTACAGGATATGTTTGCAAAAGTTATGTGAACTAATTGTCCTTATTTTTCGCAGGCTTGCATAGCTAAAGTGCGAGTGGACATACAAATAGCTGAATGCAATGTATTAAAATCCAAAAGAAGCCTAACAAAAATGTTATCTACCTTTAAGAAGCGGGACATGCGAAAAAAAGCAAGACTGTCAAGGGAGAACAAAGAGAAGAATGATGGGTTGGGTGGACAACCAAGTGATGTAGATGGTAATGATGATGATGTTAACTGTTTTGAGGAATCAAGTGGGGATGAAGAAGTTCATGATGAAGAAGTTGAGGGTGAAGAAAGTGAGGATGAAGAAGTTGAGGGTGAAGAAACTGATGGTGAGAATGAGGAAGCTGATGATAAAGAAAGTGATAGAGATTCTGCGGATGGCAATGAGGCCAGTGAGGAAGGTGAGGATGAAGAAAATGATAGAGAGTCTGGCAATGGCAATAAAAGAAGCAAAAATGAAGAAACTGATCAAAGAAGTGAGGAAGAGTGCAATGATGATGATGAGCAGGAGCAGGGTGAAAAGAATGAGAGCTATTCTACTCCAACTCACAGTCTATTGCTAAGTACTGAGGAAAATAATAAGTTGAATGCTGCTATTGCAGCCAGTTGTCGAGACAGTGAGTTAACAGAGAATGAAAGACTTGTAAAGGTTGCAAGGGGGAAGAAGAAAATAAAAAGTTGCGGATATGCTTACGCTTACTATGTAAAGAAAAACAATAAAATGGTTCGTCTCACCAAGGAGCAGAAAATGTTGTTGACATATATGGGAAAGTTTGATGGACATAGTTCGTAAGTTTTTTAATGCACACTTTTCATCTTCTGCATTACATATAATTGCGTTTAAATAATTATTGCATTTTTTTATATGTAATGTGCGAGCATGATACTTAATTTACAAGCATTGTTGTTAAATATCTCTTCAGTGAAATAATCGGTTCCATGTTTGGTTGCACTATAAGTCGTTATCAGATTCAAAGTATATTCCATGATAGGTGGTTGTCCGATGATGTGAGTTGAATGAATTTCGCACATTACTAATGCATAGTTGTGGTTGTTGATGGTATACAAATTGAATTTATCTAAATTAAATGTATTTATTTAAAGGTGATTAATTTCTTTGGGAATATACTAAACATGAAGGAAGGACCTGCTGGGGAAAAGTACTGCTTTAGTAGTAGAGCGATACAGTTCATAACTGATTTCAATGTGATGAAGATAAAGATTAAAGCTCGACGCTAGCCTGTCCTATAGCAAGTCTGGTCAAAATACATTAAGGATTCTGAGATGACTTTTCTTCCACGTCCCATGCAAGCGCAGTTGGTGAGTATGTCTTTTATTTATTGGATATAAATTTTTAAACCTTGGTTTTTTTATGATTAACTTTATACTGATCTTGGTGCAGTTATTATTCCCGTCATGCATAGATGGGCATTGGTTATTGTTTGTGGTAAACCATCGCAAGCGAAGGGTGGATTACATTTGTTCAAAGGGAAAAACCCATACATGTAAAGGATATGTTAATTTGTTGGTACGTATATGCAGTTTCAGTTGATATAAAGAATTTTTAGTGGCAATATATTTTAAAAAAACTTGCTTTGATCAACAGAAAGAGTTTGCTGGGATTGTGGTTGGTGAAGATTTGACAAAATATCGTACATATATACCAAAGAAAATACCCGAGCAACCTGGCAGGTATGTATAATTGAATGTGTGTTTCATGTAAACATGAGGTTATATGGTTTTGGCAGGTTAGTTGTAAGCCAATTGTAATACAGTTGATCGGTTTGACTTGGTTTTGTATTTTCGTTTCAGTGAATCATGTGGGCTTTATGTTATGAGGTTTATGGAGGCGTGGAATGGGGAATGTTTTTCCTGTGAATTTGAACATGTAAGTAAATATGTTGATAAGTTTTACGTGCAAGTATATTTAAAGTAATTTAATTAATACTTACATTTATTCATACAATATTGATAACGTTGTAGGAAGACACAAAAGCAATGCGTTTTGAGACGCTACTGCAATTGATTGATGACGATAGGAATGAAAAAAGATGTGATTTGTACTCTCTGGCGGCATCTCTTCCATGAATGAATGTAAAACAAAAAACCAATATTTGTTCATATGTTACAACGTCTCAATCATTAATACATTTTTTTAAAGTTCATTTATGTTGTCTAACTGTACACGTGTACATTATCAAATAAAATTATCTTTTAAAGTTTATTTTTGTTTTGACTTCTATTATGAAATCATTCCTACAATACATATAAATTAATTACGATAAAACATATGAAATTGTTCTGATGTTATTCCCACTAATTTAATTGGATAATAACTATTACAATAAAGGTACAACTCCACAAATTATATTTGTGACATCCACTCACATTATTTCTTTCTACCATGTCTTGGAGGTGGAATTACAAATTCATCATCTGCTGGCTCTGAAAAATCGGACATTTCTGAATCTGATTATAAGTCTGGGTCATTGAAGATGGTGGCCAACTGTTCTGCCGGATCTTTGTATGTTTCTTTAACATGTTTCACTTTCTGGAACTTACGCCATCTCATATATAGTTGCCGGATCTCGCGTTTGATTTGACCAATCACGGAATCCATATTTGATGTACCTGAGAGCTTCATTTCAAGTGAACGGGGTCTTGGAATTGACAGATCTTGCCTTCTGCTCTTTGCCACAATTACACCCCTAGCATTTGTTAACTCATTATACCTAATACGATGTTGTCGCTCACTATCTGGATCAGGCGGATGTGGAGGTGGACCGCCTTCCATAACTTTAATATCGTCTTCTACCGCACCAATATCCATGTTTAACAGTTCACCATGGAAGTGGGCATTCCATCTACCTAGGGCTCAAACAGCTTATGCATGAGTTTTGTATGGGTAATACCTTCCATCAGCATACCCTCGTGTCTGTGCCTTTGCTTCCGCCAACTTCGTGTATATACCAACATTCTGGCCCTTCACTACAAGGTAAAACCAATGGCTAGCCATTGCTTATACTTTGAAGGGCTGTCAATTTAAAAATGGGATGGGATGACTGCTATGGAGATACAGATGCCCTAAATATAGATCTGAGGCATCGCGTAGATTGAAAATAATAAGCAGGGTCTTTAATGTTCTAAACAAACCATTTAATTGCAATGAAGGCAAGGAATAAATGCTCAAATATAAAGTGTTCAATATAAAAAGGGAAGTGCAGTTCTGACTTAAATACAATATTTTTAACATAACAAATATACTGCAATAAAAGATATCATGTACAGTGACACCCCTATAATATCTTGAGCACTCAGCAAAATAAAGGAAGTGCAACCATGGCAATAACGAAGAAATCATGATGAAGTACACTTTTTGTACCCTGCTACCATATCATGGTAATTCCTGGAACCCTTGTTGCTCAAATGTAGAATTCATGTTTAGCATTTGGATCATTGGTGAGAAATTTGTGTTACGTACAACATCTACATCAACTCCCTTTTTATATCACATGCATGCAAAAATAGCTCATTAAATTTTGATTCTTAAATAATTTCATGACTTTAATTAATTTAGATGACATCACATACCTGGTTATTTAATGGAGTTATGGGCTAACCAAAATAAGTAGCCAGATAGTTATCCCATTCGTGGCCCTGTGTTGAACATGTTGGCATATAACATTCATCGGAGCAGAAAAACTCTACTGGTACTTCAGCACCCTTCACCAAAAATCAACAGTTCATCAGTACGTTAGACTATAGATCGGGTAGGGGATATATAAAACATAATACAAGACTCACATTGTTTAAAATATACGTAGGGGTTGTCGTAGTACGACTGCGACTTGGCACAATGGCCTTTCTCTTCTTCGCAGTGGCTCTCTCCAAAGCAGGTATGAGCCTATATCTTCTTCCTTTCAATGTATGTTTTGTGGCAATCCCTTTTGGAGTCAATCCTTCTATGGTTTGCGCATGAATATTTAGCTTTATATTTGTAAAGCTGTTTCCCATGGCATTGGCTCGTGCGGTTTGGTTACATGCAGGCCTAGGATTAGGTTGTGCTCCTTGAGTAATCTTCTTCAAACTTTTCACCTGCACCAAAACATTATTGAATTCCTTCTCGCTCACTGATGCAATGGCAGAAATTTCACTTAGATAACGACAAAGGATCCTGTGTTGTCGCCTAATTTCTAATCTAGGATTTGTAATAACATCGCTGCCAAGTATGTCTTCCACCCTGCCATCCTTGCCATTTCTGGTCCACCTTTTTAAAATATAGTGGCTGGGTATTTCATTGGCATACATAACATCTTTAAGGACTTTCAAAGTGTGGCTGCACTTGATACCCTCCATTTCAAATTTTCCATATGAACATGATAATAAGTCGTCATGTGTCCTTGCGACGAGCTTATGGAAGTTATCATTATAAACCGTAACTTCATATGAAAAAACCCCATTACCAAGGTTGTTGCACTTCCGGACATTTTCACTCATGCAAGCTACCATTAACTGTTCTTAAAAAAGGTCAAAGATGTTAGTAGTGTACACACATCTGACTTGATCTAAAATAGGAGACCTTGCTTTCAGCCTGGGCATCTTATGCAGCAAGTCATACTTAGCTGCATACTCCTTGTATCGCTTGTAGAACAAAAGCATTTCAAAATGCTTGAAAAACTCTGGCAGTGCATATTGTCTCGCTAAGTACTGTTTTAAGTAAGCATTGAAGCTCTCAATAAGCTGTGTGGTACGTATACCAGCCGACCACACATGTTTAACGTATGCCCTGGCCGATACATGTTTCAAACCAAATAAGTTAGCCAACCACTTGTTATTCTCTATAGCAAATTCCTTTTCCATCCATGATCATTCCAGTAAGAATTCTTCCTTACCCTCAATCTCGTACATTAATTTTGATATCACACTTTTTATGCCATTCCCACCAACAGGCAAATTCCCAAGATGCTTTTGGGCATTTTGCATTAGGTGCCATGTATATAGAAGGTGTTTTGTATCGAGCATGACCTGGACTAATGCCTTTGCCATTACAGCGTCTTGGTTGGTCAAGATCATCCTTAGTGCTTTATGGGACATGGCATTCAAGAATGTATTGAATAACCAACCAAAAGAATCAGTTGTCTCATCATACATGAAAGCTGCTCCAAACACAACTGTCTCCCGGTGATGGTTCAAATCGACAAAAACTGCAAAAGGCCGATTCCTATAAACAAGTTTGTACATGGTATCAAATGTCAACACATCTCCAAAATGCCCATAATCTAATATCATTTTTGAATCGGCCCAAAATATATTTGTTATCATTGCACTGCTGTCCAATTGCACGGCATAGAATAATGATGGATCTTCCAAACACTGTGTCTGGAAATAATTCATCAACCAATTCACATCACCAAGTTCAAGGTCGTTCTGTCTTCTCGTCCAAATATAATTTTGTACATCAACCTTCATGAAGCCAATACTTTCTCTACCACCAGCTTGCCTCGAACTTAACTCAAAGGCTTTACGAACTGGCATTCCATAATCGGCAGCCAACTCCACATCAATAGCTTGCACAAACTTTATTTTTTGCTGCGATGGCATCATGTGGGCACAATCCTCACTGATGAGGGGATGGTCGTGAGTATCTTTAAAATCTTTGACAATGTACTTACCAAATTCCATATTAAAGGCAATAAGCATACGTGCACGACAATCCGTGCATGTTTCAGCCCTTCGATTCTTTATTTTCCTGTTCCTCTTGTCCTCACTTCTTTTTCCCTCCTTACAACACACAAAATTTCTAGATGTTACTTTTCCATCCTTCTGACTGTTGTTTTTGTACTCTCTCCGAATACTAAAACCCACTCTGCCACCATATTCATTGTAAAAATCATAAGCTGCTTCTTTGGAATCAAACTGCATATCAACACGGGGTATCCATTATTCTTTAGGAATTTCGTAAACCGAATCGCTATCTATCTCTTCAATGTTAATAATTGGCTCTTCAATAGCCATAACTATAATAGCAGACCTACAAAAACATGACAAAAAAGTAAGTGTATCTTAATAGCATAACATTTATATGATATATGCCAACAGTTTCATAAATACAACACCACATCTTTCACCTAACATATCCACATCAAATTTACTTCTACACTAATATCATGCATTGCCATTCATGCATCCATTTTTTAACATGTGTCATAACAAATACATGCAACATACTACAGTTGTACAACCTTTATATAACATATGTCACCAGTTTCATAAGTACACCACATATTTAATATAACAAATCCACACAAATTTAGTTGTACACTACTATAATGCATTAACATCCAGCCAAGAAATTTGTAACATGTGGCATATGTTACCATACGAAATAAATGTAACATAATTCAAGTGTACACAACATATGCAAACAATTGGTGGCAAACATAATTTGACCTTCACAGCACAACTTTTTTTTTTTAACATATGCCAACACTTTCATAAATAGAACATCACATCTTTCAGCTAACATATTCACATAAAATTTACTTCTACACTACTATGATGCTTTACCACTCATGCAACCATTTTCTAACATGTGCTATATGTTAACAGATCAAATTCATATAACAAACTTCAACTGTACATTAGATGTCAAAACAAATGATGTCAAACATAATTTAACTTTCTCACCACAACTTTTATATAACATATGTCAACAGGTTCAGAAATACAACATCACATCCATTCAAAATTTACTTCTACACTACTATAATGAATTACCATTAATGCAACTTTTTTTAAACATGTGGCATATGTTACTATAACAAATGCATCTAATATAATTTAAGCTTAAATTAGATATTCAAATAATTGGTGGCAAACATAATTTGACTTTCACAGCATAACTTTTTTATAACATATGCCAATAGTTTCATAAATAGAACATTACATCTTTTAGCTAACACATTCACAAAAAATTTACTTCTGCACTACTATAATATTTTACCATTCATGCAACCATTTTCTAACATGTGCCATATGTTAACAGATCAAATTCATATAACAAATTTCAACTATACATTAGATGTCAAAACAAATGGTGTCAAACATAATTTGACTTTCTCACCATAACTTTTATATAACATATGTTAACAGGTTCAGAGATACAACATCACATATTTGACCTAACATATCCATTAAAAATTTACTTCTAAACTACTATAATGGATTACCATTAATGGAACTTTTTTCTAACATGTGACTGATAAGCGCTGAATACTATATATTCAAGCGCCCTAAATTACATTAACAAAGTCCATTAATTGATTATTTTATGTAGATTAACTCCATTTGCATGTTTTTGTACATTTTTAGGTTAAAGTGCAAAAAGGAAGCAAAAATGATGCCTTGTGGAATTTTGAACAAAAAGGGTGCCAATTCTGAATTTCTGGCAGCAGTAGAACCTGAATTTTGTTGCCATTTTTGACGTAGAAAACTCAAGAACTGGATTTCCATCTTAACATGAAAGATTTAGAGCTTTGAATCAACTTTCTAAATCTTCAAGCGGTTCATCATTCCGAGTTCGGAGCAAGGAGTTATGATCTTCTTAACAGAGGTGAGCAGAACTGCCTGGCAGAACTGAAGTACTGCCTTTCTCCCCATTTTCGACCAACCAGACTTGAGAATTGGGTCTTCATCAAACATGAAGTTTTTAAAGCACTGAATCAGCTCTCCAAATCTTCAAATAGATCGTCATTCGGGGTTCGGGGCACAAAGTTATAGCCGTTTTACCAAAGTAGGTCAGTGCTGAGCAAGAAGAGCATGTTGCACATTACACTAATGTAGAGTGCTCGAGACCACCCTTCAAGTGCTCAAAATTCTGGCAGATTGCACTCGAAAATGGCTCAATTTTAGCCACTTGCACATTGGTTTCCTCAATGCCATCTTCCTTCTTTATGAAGTGGTTGGAGGTGTTCCTTGGAGGAGAGAGAGCTTTAACTTGAGCTTGATAAGAGAGAGGGAGGCCACACATTTTATATTATCCTATATTCTTGCAAGATAGAGGAGAGAGAAGAGAGCAAGAAAGGTGTGTTCTTGGAGCTAGAAGAAGGGAGCTCAAAAATGGAGGTCAAGGCTTTGCTTCCTCCTTCCTCTAGTGCATCAATGGGTAACTAAACCTCCATCTAGGGAGGTGATGAAGCCTCCTTTGTAAGCATGCTATAATCTTGTTTTAATTTGGGGAATGAAGTGTATTTGTGATCTTTTCATATTCTAGAGACTTACACATGTTGTAAATGTTCTTCAATTCAATAAATGATTGTGTTAAATGTATCATCTTGTCTTAGATTGTATGTTTTCATGATTATAGGGCTTATATCTTCATAGTGAGAATAGAGATGAGAATATGAAATGGTTTTCTTGGCATGTCTTGTGAAGGTTTTGATAGTCCATTCCTAGGAACGATGAACCATACTACACCCCTAGTTTAATGTAGTTAGGTAGATGGTTCATACCAACCGTGGATGGATTATACTTAGTCTTTGATTACATGTGCATTTACCATACAAAGTAAGGGATTTGATAGGCCATTCCTAGGGGATTATACTTAGATGGTTTATACTTAGCTCTGATTGTATGAACTTCTTGAAGATAGTGCAGTTATCATGCATCTCTATATATCATGGTCATTTATATAAGTAGTTCCCCAAGTTAATTGCAAGCTAGCATGTTTATGAGGTGTGTGGTGGATTCATTTCCCTAGTCCTCTCCACCTAAGTTTCACTCCTTTTAATCTCCTTCAATTTATCATTTTATGCATTCTGAATTCGTAGTTTCAGTGACAAACAAACAAAACCTCTATGAACACCCCTTCATCATCCTAAGAATGACTCTAGACACTTAGGTTGCCTTAGACTAGCGCAGTCCCAGTGGTTCGACTTACCCGACCAATAGCCCTATTTTACAATGATTCGTGTTATTGCAAAGGTTGATGTTTAGTTGATCAACCGATCAAATTTTTGGCGCCGTTGCCGGGGATTGCAAACGGTTTAGCAACCAAAGTTTAGGGTTAAATTTAGTTTGATTGTGCATATTGTGTTTTGTGCATATTTTTCGTGTGGTTTAACCATTTTCGTGTTGTAAGATTCTAGGGACTTGAAGCGCCGTGGGAACGCTAGCAAATTGTAAGTCTATAGGACCCCAGGTAAGTCTCTTGACTTCTAGTTTCAACTTGTAGATACAGTACATGTGTTAATTTTAGAAGTAGTTAATTTAGTTGTGAAGCCCTTGTAGAGGCTATTATCTTGTTTAATTTCGTGTACAAGCATCGGTCCTTGTCGTGGCCATTTATTTTTCTGTCTTGATAATTGAGGAGAAAGGGAACATCGTATGTGGAGTTGATGATAAAGATTTGTTGTGATGATGTTGTTGTGAATTGTTGATGTTTGGCCGTAGGTCACTCTCTCTACCCACAATCGATTCGCCCATTGATATCAATTCTCTTGAAAGAACTCTTAGAAGAAACCTTAGTGAATCTACTCTTACAAGGGATCTTGAAACTGAATTTAATACAATGGGAGATAATATAGGAAATTCGGGGAATGAAAGGGCTGAAATTCCTAATATAGAACCAATGACTCTTAGAGATCATTTCATCCCTACCACCTATGCTTCTCCTTCTTGCATAGTAATGCGAAACATCGATGCAGCTCAATATGAGATCAAATCAAGCACCATCCAAATGCTTCCATCATTTCACGGCTTTGATAATGAAGATCCATATAAGCATCTTGATGAGTTCCTTGAAATCTATTCGACCATCCGGTTGAGAGGTTTTCCGGACAATGCACTCCATCTCCATCTTTTCCCATTCTCCCTAAAGGATAGGGCAAAATATTGGTTGAACTCCTTCGCTCCCAATTCCATTACTTCTTGGGCTCAATTGCAACAAGAATTCCTTAAGAAGTATTATCCGGTGAGTAAAACCAACCAAATGAGGCGTTCCATTCTAAGCTTTTCTCAAGTTGATGGAGAACAACTCCATGAGACTTGGGAAAGGCTACAAGATCTTCTTCGGAAATGTCCTCATTATTTGATCCCAAAATGGCAATTAGTGCAAGTTTTCTATGCCGGCTTGACCGAAACCCATAGATTCATGGTTGATTCTTCTTGTGGTGGGATGTTCATGTCCAAGAATGCGGATGAGGCTTGGACCCTACTTGAGAATTTAAGCGAAAATTCACTTCAACATAATTCTCGTAGGGCTCTGACCTCAACCATTGCAAAGAACACCAACCCTTGTCAACCAAAATCAATAAGGGAGGAATCATCTCAAGTGGATGCCATCGCTCATAAATTCTACCAATTGATGGCACCATATCTTCCTCCTTTATTGTCTCAAAATTCGGCAAGTTCAGTTTGTGCTTCTTGTACTGGTCCATTCCATCTCTTGGAAGATTGCCCCACACCGGAGCAATTTCCCAATCCCAACCAAGAGCAAGCTAATGCCATGTTCTCGCGGCCCGGGAACAATCCATATTCCAACACCTACAATCCGGGTTGGCGAGATCATCCGAATTTCTCGTGGTGGCAACAAGCCCCACAAAATTCCCAATTCCAAAACCAAGGGCGGCAAAATCAGCCCTCTTCTCAATATCAAGGTAGACCTTTCCAAGCCTCTTCAAGCTACCGTCCTCCTTACAATCCAAATGTCTCCAATCAACCTCCTGTGTGTCCAACTGACGAGATAGTAGCTGCAAATAAGCAAATGATGGAATCATTAAATAAGCAAATAATGGATGTCAACAAGCAACTCTTGACATCCTTGCAGCCTACTCTCCAAATGGTTCACTCTCATACTCAATCCATAGCTAATCTCGAAAATTAAGTGGGCCAAATAGCTAACTCGGTGAATCAATTGCTTCAAAAGGACAAGGGCAAGCTTCCCTCTCAACCTTTTGAAAATCCTAGAGGAATGCATGTGATTGACGAAACCCCCCCTCCGAGTGGGCCGACTCATGAACAAGTTCAAGCTAT